TCAATTCTATGATAAGCCGTCAATTCATGTGAAAAGAGAGAGTTTAGAGAATAAATAAAATCCATCAACAAAAGTTAAGAGTTTTATAATCAAACAAGTGATTACATATATGCTTCTAATTTATGAACAGTTTAGCAAAATTGATACCAGAGAAAAAGCCCAAATCACTATAGAAAATGACAATTTATTGTTCAAATTCAAAAAGACTACAAACGTCGACTCTTGATAATAGGAGAATAACAACATTACAAACATGGAAGACACCCTAGGTTGGCAGTGAGGGTGGTGGATGGCGGCTGGGCAGCAGGTTGAGGGATTAGTTGGAGGAGACGGGCGCAACAGGAGGCTGGAATGAGGGCACAACAGCCGGCGGGGTACTGTGAGGGTGATGGCAGCAGCTGAATACGAACTCAAGAGTAACGACAAGGGAAAACAATGAGTGGGCAGCAGGTTTTGGGGAGCAGGGAGGCAGGCAACACCAAGTGTAAGTGGTGGACGGCGACTGGGCAGCGGATCAGAGACCTGAAAATGATTGGCAGTTACTGGAAGCGACTTCGGAGGGGGTTGTGGAAACATAAATGTCTCGTCAGGTCCAAGCTACAGCTGGAGCACCACCCGGCCCCTTGGAGATGGTTACCACCACGGGCAAGCTGTAGCCGAAGCACTTCTCGTCGTCAGGTACGACTCCCAGAGGGGGAGAACGCCTCAAAGGCAGAACTCAAAAATCTCCACTTATCCAAAAATTTTCTGATTTTCAGAAAACAAAGCCTATAAATAGGAGAGATTAAGAGATAGACAAGGCAAGAATTGAAGGGTGTGGGATGAAGAAGGAAAGAATTTGAAATAGGATAGAAGTGGAAGGTAGTAAATAAGGTAGAGAATGCATAGGAAGGAGACTCTTTATGGAAGATACTAAAAAGGAGAGAGGATGCAACTAAAAAGTTAAAAAGGATTCATGGTTACTGTAAAAACTACAGTAACTGCGTCAGCGGTACTGTAGTTGATACAGTACCGCGAGCGGAAAGCTCTCGTGTCAATCTCCTGAGGTTGGGGAAGCTTCGACATCATTCGTCGAAGCTTTTAAGGCAGAAAGATTTTGGTGGGATGGTTTGGGTAGGAGCGAATCTAGGAAACCATAGAATAGGAATAGGGTTTGGTTGGCTCTAATGCCAAACCATACTGGAGAAAAAACTAATAGAAAATAATAATTTTCTTGTTGAAATTCAAAAGGACTACAAACACCAACTCTTACTAATAGGAGAATTACAACAATACAAACACAGAAGATATCGTAGGTTGGCGGTGAAGGTGGTGGACGGCGGCTAAGCAGCAGTTCGAGGGATTGGTTAGAGGAGAGGAGCACATTAAAAGACTGGAATGAGGTTACATCAGTCAGTGGGGTGTGAGGGTGATTGCAGCAGCTGGACACCGACTTAGAGGCGACGACAGAGGAAAATAGGGAGTGGATAGTAGGTTTTGGGAAGAAAGGAGATGTGTAGCAACAAGTGGAAATGGTGGACGACGGTTGGGCAGTGGATCGGAGGCCTAGAAATGGTTGGCAGTTGCTAGAAGCGAGCGGGTTGGATGGGGTTGCTGAATATTGAATGTGTCGTCGGTCGAGCTATAGCCGGAGTAGCACCCAAACCCTTAGAGACGGCCACCACCTCGAACGAGTTACAGCCGGAGCACCTTCTTGTCGTCGAGTACGACCCCGAAAGGGGAAGAATGCCTCAAAGGCAGAATTCAGAATTCTCCAATCACCCAAAAACTGTCTGCTTTTTAGAAAACAACACCTATAAATAGGAGAGATAAGGAGAAAGACTAGGCAACAATTAAAGAAGGATTGGGATGAAAAATGAAGAAATTTGAAAAAAGATAGAAGTGGAAGATGGTAAATAAGGTAGACAATGAATAGGGAGGAGACTTTTTGGAATGGAGTGAAAAGAAGAGAGGGGGATGTTAAAAAGGCAAGAAGGATCGTAGTTATTGTATCTGCTACCTATAATTTGTTTACAAAAGATCATGCAACTATTAAGAAAACTACACTTAATGCACGAAGTTGTGTTCTTGGCCTCTCCCTTCCTACTCTGCGGCTCACCTCCACCTTCCATGTGGTCCTCTTCTCCTTCACATGGTAGCAATGCACAAAGCTTCCCTGGCTTCAGCTCTCGTCCCTCTCGACAGAGCCACACACACTCTTCCCTTCGGCTTCGATAACCCACACAAGCACTCGCACAATATGCATTTCTTCGATATCGGTTTCATCCAACACCGTACACAATACGTTGTCTTCCCTCCCCTCCACAAGATGCAAAAGCCGTCGACTTTCCTCCTCTCTACCATATGTAAGTCGTGCGATGCTCCTTCCTCTCCTCTCTCTATGTTTCGATTTGTTCACAGTCTCTCTCTCGTTTGGTTTCATAGAAAACGAGTATAAGTGCTCGTTTGATTTTCTCCAAACAACGCTTCTCTTCCGAAAGATGCTCCTATGAGTAAATCATTATTATTTATTATTCTTATTACTATTATCATATATAAATTTTTAATTTTCAGTTATTACAGTCTATATAAAGGGCATAATTTCAACAAGTAATGATAAAAGAATACTTCATAAGAAATCATGTTTTGAAGACAAGCACTTGAAGGAAAAACTTATAGAAAATTTGAAAATAATGATTTTGAACATTCCAAGTATTTTCTAGGAGTAGAAGTTTCTAGAACAATTCCAGCCCCTCACAAAGAATATAGGTTCAGATCTACAAAAAATTAATTTAACTATAAGAAAGTTTGTCAACACTCTAACACATTACTAAAATGAAGTAGGTGATGTTAAGACCAATTTCTTAGTTGATAAAGAGGTAAAAAATTGATGGGGAAACTCGCCTATTTGGCTCAAACCAAACCTGACATAGATTTTCTTATCAGTATAGTAAAATTCATGCATGACCCTCCAAAAACACATGAAATACATACATATCTAAAAAGAAGCACTGAAAGGGAGCTTTTTATTAAGGAGAATCTAAGAATATAGAAGCCTATACTAATTATTTATGCTAGGTCTATAATAGATAGAAGAATAACTTAATAATATTGCACCAATGTGTGGAGTAATCTTGTAACCTAAAGGAGCACGAACAAAATGTTCTGGCAAAGAAAAGTGCAAGCAAGAATGCAGGTCATTATTAAGTTGATTTAGTGAATTAATCTGCCTCAAGCAATGCCTAAAATAAGTTCAGGAACCTATTAAGACTCCTAAGATAGTATAGTGTGACAATAAAGTTGCTATAAGTATAGCACACAATCATGTCCTTAATGACCAAACCAAACATGAGAAGATAGATCGACATTTCATAAAAACAAATTAAAATGAATATAAATAATATTCGTAGAAATAATCTACAGACAACCCAACATATGTTGCCTTTCAATAAAGTAGAAACTGCACCATCCCCCCTCATCAATCTATCTGTTTCCTTACCATTAAGAAGATGCCCTACTAGTTGTCTAGGTATGTCAATAGCTGCGATTCTACTTACTGCCATAGGCGTTCTGCCATCCAATAAAAAATGGGCTGGTTGAACCCAAGAGGACTTTAGCAATCTTACGGAAGAACCACCGGTCATCCAAAGAGTAATGAGCTAAAATCGCTGCAAGGAGCTCAAGAACTTGTAACCATCCAACAAATCAAGTTTGTTAATCAATTTTTCAAATAGGGGTGGTCTAGCCAATCCTTTGGTCAAGATGTTAGTAATCTGCTTGGAGTTACATCTAGCAGTTTTTATGCATATAATTTATTAAATTCTTTATATTTTCTTTATTTCTAAATTTTCTTTTCTTCCCTATTTTTTCTCTTTACTGTTTTTAACTATAATTGAGTATAAGTATTCAACTATTCCTCTTCTATTTTTCTTCTACTTCTTGCTTACAATAAAAAAATACAACAACAACAAGCCTTTATCCCACTAAGTAGGGCCAGCTACATGAATCATTTTTCTCCATTGCGTCCTATTGAGTGTCATATTTTCATTTAATTATATAAAAATTAAGATATATTTTTATACAATATGCCTAAGTTTTTCTAGGTCGACCTTTGTCTTTCTTAACATAAGTCGAATCTAAAACATCTACACTCCTAACCGGATTACCAGATGTTTCATGTGACCAAACCATCTAAGACGACATTCTCTAATTTTGTCCGCCAATGGAGCTACACCAACCCTATCATGGATCTATTCATGTTGCATTTTGTCTCCAAGTGTAAAGCCACTCATCCACCTAAGTATTCTCATCTCGGCAACAATTAACTTGGTTTTGTACTTCTCTTTTAAATGCCAACATTCTGCGCCATAGAGCATTGCAGTTCTCACCACCATCTTATAAAATTTTCCTTTCAGTCTAAGCGTTACTTTTCTATCACACAATAGGCCCAAAGCAGTCCTCCACTTCAACCAACCAACTTGAATTCTACTAATAACATCCCCATCTATACCACCATCAGTTTGAAGAATAGACCAGAGATATCTGAAGCGTTCACACCTTTTAATGATTTGATCACCCATAGTTACAACTCTGTCACTAGAGCTACTACTACTAAAATTACATTCCATGTATTCAGATTTAGTTCTACTCAAACGAAAGCCTTTAGACTCCAATGTAAACCTCCATAACTCAAGTTTTTCTTGAACTCTTTTTCTAATCTAAAAATACAAGATTATTAAATAACCCTCAATAATATTGGTGACAAAGGGTTGATTGAAGCCAATTTATTGGCAATTAAAAATGACAGACAAAAAAGCAATGAGTTCCATATGCATGATCGTTAGTAAATTTATATATGCATGCAACTCGAGCATGCATTAATGTTTGTGGCTTAATTAGCAACATAAATAACACATGTATAAATATGTGCTGTGTGATTGTCGGTGTTTTATTCTTAAAGGTAAGGTGGTGAAAATAGGTGTTGTGATATAAAAAATAAAATAAAAAAGGAAGCCACATACTAATTGTATGCAATATTAAACAACATATTCTTCAGAAATCCTCCAGAGCGTATCTTCTCTTGCAAGCCTGAAAATTGAAATAAAGAAATTAGGTAACATTCAATGAAGCTAAATGAGGAAATGAAAAAGTGGAAAAAGGAAAAACAGCTGACAAGATACATTAGAGAACTTTATGTTATAACTAAATTGACTTTTACCAACTAACTGAAAGAGCCGTCTCTTACACAGTTTATTTTAGTTGTCAAGATTTCAAGAAAACGAGGAAAAAAAATTAGAAGGTTTCAATTGTTCCATGTTTTCATATATTCACCTTATAGGAAAATAAATCCACATTAACAAAACTTTCAACTTATCAGTCACAGGAAAGCGCAAATGAATCTGAAAAAAAAATTACTGTTTACCCAGTCCTGCGTGACTATTCATTTGCTCACTTTCCTTCCACCAACTTGAATTCGGTCTGACTAGTAATAAAGCAGTACTTTTCTATCACACAATAGGTCTGACACATTCCTTCCCTTCAACCAACCAACTTGAATTCTACTAATAACATCTCCATCTACATCACCATCATTTTGAACAATAGACTCGAAATATCTAAAACGTTTGCACCTTTTAATAATTTGATCACTCACTGTTACAACTCTGCAATTAGATGTACTACTACTAAAAATACATTCTATGTATTCAATTTTAGATTTACTCGAACGAAGGATTTTAGGAAATTTAATTAGTTGCATCAGAATCAATTATCCAAGAGTGAGAAAAGTTAGGAATATATTAAAAAATTATGATATTCCTAATTTTCTCACTAGTGGATAATTAATTATGGTGCAACTAATTGCATGACTAGTTGTTCTAAAGTATTTTCCTCCTATATACCTTGTGCATACAATAAAAAAAGTCAAAATTGTTGATGGTTCCCTCTCGATAATCGTCGAGATAGGAATTGTCAAAGCCCTCCTCATTTTTAACCCTTCTTGATGTTCTCTCTATGTTTCTAATCTATCGTGTAATTTGTTGTCCATTAGTAAAATTATTGATGATTGTCAATGCCAAACTAACTTCTATCATTTTCATTGCGAGTTTCAGGAATTGTTTGCTGGGATGATGATTGACGGTGATAAGGAAAAAAATGAACTTTATTATTTTCACGATGGACTTGACTCGAAATGGGCTATGTCAAAGTGTTAGTTTAAATTCTATTTTTGTTTCTAAAAATAATAAAATCATGTTATAACATTTAAAATTAATTCTTGATAATTCCCAATATCTAAATTATTTATTTTCCTAATTATTTCAGAATAAAAATATTTTTGCTTCAATATGAAATGTGTCAGTTTGTTAAACATCATCATGCATCATTTTCTCTACAAATATACAAGTCAGTTACACCATTTTCGTCAATCCATAGCGATATCTAGGTTTCTTGTAAAAACCTTACACATTATGGAAAATGACAGTTTATGACTTTTACTATTGATCATATTAGGTTAAGTTTGGTTTATTTAACGAAAGAAAAATCTGACGTAAAAATAAATTTAAATTTTTTTTACACCATGGTACACACCTAATTACAACAAGTCATTTAAATATAATGAAGTGATAATGTTCGAGAATATTTCAAAAAGATTTAGGCTTAATTGTTTTCTCGAAAAAGGAATAATTCATCAAAGCTCTTATATTGACACTACACTACAAAATGACATGGGTGAAAAAAAAACAAACACTCATTAGAGGAAGCTCGGTCATTGTTATTTACTGATCAACAATTTAAATATCTTTGGAGTGACGCCGGTTTTACTGCGACATTTTTCATAAATAGAACACTCAATGTGGTTTTAAACTGTAAAGTACCTTTTGATTTTTTTCTAAAGAATTGATTCTAATCTTGTCTACCTCTAAAGATATTTGGGTGCACTACTTTTGTTCACATTTATCATCAAGAGAAACTTGAACCTTGAACCAAAAAAATGTGTTTGTTGACTATGCTCATAGCCTAAAGGTGTATAAATCATTTAATTTCATCGCTAGAAAAATATTTGTTACCATGGATATCACATTTTTTAAACTTCAACCATTTTTTCACCTCACCCTCAAAGGAGAAATCAAAACAAAAATTTGTACTGAGTTTCAGGATATTTTTCAAATGAAAGGCTCCATAAATAGTATTTCCCAAACCTTGAATGTTCAACCTGAAAACTCAAGAGAAATCATATCAAGAGGGAGTGTGTCGACTCTTTTAGATATTGAAAGTCCTACAGAGACATCTCATGTTCATAAAAAAGAAGAAACAGGAAAAATAACTACGACGGTGGTACCATTTGATTTTATCTATTCGCGATAAAGAACAACTCAAAAGAAAGAATATATGAATCATTTCTACTGCCCAGAATCCGTGAACCCTTCAGGTAATGTCCTCACTAATCATTTACCCCAAATTCAAGTCACTTTATCTTCGGGCTATGAGTCTTCTAGTCACGAATCTAAGCCCGGTTTGAATCTGGAGTCTAATGATTCTAGTCTTCCCATTGAGAAAAGTATTGCACCCAACATCCATTGTCCCATTATATGTTATATGAAAATCTTTGACCTACTTTTCATGCTTTTACCTTACAATTATCATATGTATGTAGATTCCAAATACCATGCAGTATGCTCTGAAAGTCTCTAAGTGGAAAAAGTCTGTTTTCAAAGATATAAAAGTTTTTGAAAAAAATGACGCGTGGGAATTAGTTGATCTACCTAGAAAAAAAAACTATCGGTTGCAAATGGTCTTTACAATCAAGTAGAATTTTTAATTCAAAACAGATAAGAAATTTTTAGAGTTGGTGATAGAATTATAGCCCTTAAGATTATCATTGATACTAAGATTTTTAATATTATAAGTGTTTATGCTCCTCAAGTAGGTTTAGATACAGAGTCTAAAGATAAATTTTGGAATGACTTAGAAGACTTAATACAAATGATACCTCTTGAAGAAAGAATTTTTATTGGAGGAGATTTAAATGGACATGTCGGTAGAGTGGTAGAAGATTTCAGAAATATTCATGGTGGCTACGGTTTTGGAGTAACTAATGAAGAAGGTAAAGTTATTTTAGATTTTGCTTTAGCGTTTCATTTTGTTATTACTAATACTTTATTCAAGAAAAGGGATGAACATCTTATTACTTATAAGAGTGGATCTAATAAAACACAAATTGATTATTTTCTTATGAGAAGAAGAGATCGTCGTGATTGTAATGATTGTAAAGTCATTCCAAGTGAAAATTTAAATACCCAACATCGTTTATTAGTTTTAGATTTTAAGATTAAGAGTTGTAAAATAAAAAATACTAGGACTCATCATTGCAGAATTAGATGGAGAAACTTAAAAGATACAAATAAAATTAATTTTATGAGTAAAATTCAAGATTTCAAAATTTGGGATATTCATGAAAAAACAAATGTGATGTGGGATAAAATAACAAACTCTATTAAACATGTAACAAAAGATGTTCTTGGAGAATCAAAGGGAAAAATATTTACAAATAAAAATAGTTGGTGGTGGAATAATAATGTGCAAGAAAAGATAAAATATAAGAAGTTATGTTATAAAAATTGGTTAAAATGTAAA